TTGTAGAATGTTATATATGACTATATGAGTAATAGTTGGAGTAAATAGTTGGCAAAAAAAAAAAAGTTGGAGCAAATAATAAAAACAACTACCTATTAGATATCCACAAGTTTGGTGTAAAAAATATATATATATTCACAAGTAATACTAACTTATTATTACTATTTATTAATCACCTTATAACATAGTAACAGATAAGTTTTCACTTTGAAAGAAGAGGCTATGAACCTGTGAGTTCATCGGAGGAAATTTTTTATTTTTTTTAATTTGAGAATATTTTTCATAAATGCACACCAAAATTTATTTATAATTAAGGCTTACGAGACTCCACAATAACTTAATTATTTGAAAGGATCTTAAAAATGACTTAGGGTGTTGTGTGAGAGTTGAGACTTCAAAATAAAATTTTTAAAAATATTTAATATTCGCATTGTTTAAATATTTTTTATTATCTTTTTTTTTAATGAAACTAAAACGAACTACGCTTTAAGCGTTTACGTCAGTATCCAGAAGGCACCTAAGAAAATCAGGAGGTGAACTGAAGCAAACAAATCCTTCGGCTACTTCTTGTGCTCTCTTCACAAGACAATCCGCAACATAATTGGAACCACGATTGCACCATTCAAGACTAGCTTCCCACTCCTTCTCCAGCCGTTTGTGAATTTTTGTAAGCAGATGATAGTCAGGATGCTCCTCGCTCCAACCATTTGCTAAGCATTCGACCACTTCCAAGCAATTGGTCTCCACCACTATTTTCTTCCATTGCATCTCCCAAGTTCAACGCAAGCCCATCATCATCGCCCAAGCCTCAGCTAGAAAGCTGTTACCTCTGTCGATGTTGAGAAGAAACCCTGACAGAACTTCGCCATTGTGATCGCGAGCAACACCACCACAGGCAGAGTTATTCCTAAGTGGGTCGTAGGATCTGTCCACATTGAATTTAACAAACCCCACCAACGGCGAGTTCTACTTGAAGTGATGATGCACCCCATCTGAGTTTCCACACAGTCTAAACTCTGACCAGTCCACCATAGCACGTACCTGAGTAACGATTTGGATCGGCCCTTTAGCTTTATCATTAAAGATCCCCTCATTTCTGTTAATCCACAGCCTTCTGCTCATTATGGCAAACCAAATACACCATGAAGTGCCCATATACTTAGACCTTTGATTTATGTTCCAGGAGATCCAGGTTGAAGCATTAGTGAAAGAGAAGAATTTCTCGCTAAGTTCAGCAGGCATTATTCTTTTCCAGTAGATTATCGCTTGATCGTATTCTCTTAAGGCATGAAGGATATTCTTTTTTTTTTGCTTGGACAGAAAGTGCAACTATTTTCTTATTGTAAACCTCTCACCACTCTTAACTCATTTGTAAGCAGGCGGCCATGAGCGCACAACCAGAGGAAAGTTTTGCAACGTTGTGGTATGGGTAGCTTCCAAAGTCTACCCCACCCCATACGTACCGGGGACGGGTTCTGATTACACACAAGGGAATAAGCTGATCTGATGGAGAATTCACCATTTGAAGTACCTCTCCAACTTATTGAATCCAGGTTCACGCGATGAACAGTCAGATACAATCGCTCAATGTAAGAGGTAACCGAGCTTGGAATGAAATAGGAAAAATTTTGCCAGATCCACTCATCGGATTCATTGTTACAATCTGCAACTATATCATCTAAAAGGTTTTCTGGGCCATTTCTAACCTCATGATTAATGAGTCTGTTGTGGTGAGGTAGCCAATAATCCTTAACCGAATTTTGGAGCCATTGCCCAGTTTCCATTCCACCCAATTCGTTGTCTAATCCCAAGCTTTTTGGATAGCTCTCCACGTTTGGGCAGCCTCCTTCTTTTTTACAACTTTGGGTATAATGTCATTGCCACATTTGTACTTTTCTCTCAGAAATTTCACTCAAAGGGCATCTCTTCTTTTCATTAGTCCCTAACCTAGCTTCATCATATAGGCCTTATTTCGTTTCCATGCACTCTGAAGACCTAATCCTCCTTCTTCCTTGCATTTGCAAATATCATCCCAAGCCACAAGATGAATTTTCTTCGAGGAGTTAGTACTGCCCCAAATAAAGTTCCTACATCATTTATTAATTTCATCAGAGATGTGGAGAGATAATAGCACCGTTTACATTGTATATTGAGGAATAGCCACAATAATAGAAGATACAAGGATGTGTCTATAAAGTATTAGCCTTCTATCCTATCAATCTTTTGTCTATTTTTTCAAGAACATATTTATATGTCAGCTTGGAAACCTTTTGGTGGTTCAAAGGGACCCCTAGATACTTCCCCAAATTTGCCATCGGACCCCTAGATTTTGCTTCGTTGACTTTCTCTTTGGAGGCCAAACAGAAGTCATCTAAGCAAGCTTTAATAGACCAGCTTGTTCTATGCTTGCTTTAGCAAATAGGATAAGGTCATCAGCAAAAAAGGAGGTGTGAAACTTGACAACCATTTTTCTTAAGTTGAAAAGGCTGCCACTGTCCTTCTAAAACTTCATTCTAGATGAGGTGTGCCAATTTCTCTATCATAAGCACAAACAGGTAGGGAGATATGGGATCTCCTTAATGAATGCCACGGGAAGGATTAAAGCTTTCACCCCTAGAGCCATTCCATAAGATTTGCATCTCAACAAAGGATAAGCAGTGATGTATTAGTTCTATAAATTTTGTAGGAAGCCCAGCTCCTCAAGGCACTTAGTGACAAAGCTCCAATTAACACGATCATAAGCTTTTTCCAAATCAATTTTTAGAGCCATATATCCCCTATCCCTCTTTATAGTGTGCATCGAATGAAATATCTCTTGAGCCAAGATAATATTATCTGAAATTTGCCTGCCTAGGATGAAGCTACACTGATTGGGAGCCGCAACATCTGGAAGCACGTGCTTAAGTCTGTTGGCTAAAATTTTTATAACCACTTTGTAGATAACATTATAGAGGCTGATAGGTTTGAAATCTCGAAGACTTTACGGATTATCTATCTTGGGAATGATGGCAATATTGGTGCTATTAATACGTCTAATCTCATCAGGGTTGGAGAAAATATGTGCCACTATTTTGACCACTGAGGGACCTGCTACTTCCCATTGAGACCGGTAAAAGAGGGGATTAAGGCCATCCGGTCTCAAAGCTTTGAGGAGGCCTATGCTAAAGATGGTTTGTTTGACTTCTTGAGCAGAAACATCACGACCTAGCGCATCAAGAGTCCCTGCATCAACCTGTGGAAAAGAACTACCAAATAACACAGAAGCCAGAGCATTAGTTTCCTTAAGAAAAAGATTTTGGAAGAAGGACGTACCTTTTTTCTTAAGTTCCTCTTGGTCATAACACCACTCACCTTTTTCATCTTGTAAGGCTTCCACAAAATTTTTTTTTCCTTCTACAGTTTGTAACTATGTGGAAATATCTAGTGTTTTTGTCACAATGGGTATATCAATTACACTATGATCTTTGGAGCCACATGATCTCTTCTTGAACCAGACACTGTTTGAGTTCTCTCCACTTTTCCTGTTTTTTTTCCTTTCCCAATACTCATTCTTGCCTCTATTTAGATTCATATACTCCATGTCTTTCAGCAAATCATACTTTCTTTTGTTAATATTACCAAATGTCTTTTTGTTCCACTTTAAGACTTCCTTTTGAAAATTATCAACATTCTGTTCCCATTGTTTATTAATATTCCAGGCTTGCTTAACCACCTCTGTAAAGCTGTCGTGGGCAAACTAAGGAGGGAAAAAGCAAAAAGAGTTATTTGCCCAGTTTTGGTGGTTTCTTCTTCCCATACTCAGCAGCAGGGGACAGTGATCAAATTTCATTCTGGGAAGATGAAGAACCGATGCATTCGAGAAGTGTTCGAACCAGTTTGGGTTACCAAAAAAGCAACCAATTCTGCTAAAAGACCTACCACGACACCAGGTAACATCAGGACCTTGGAAGGCAATGTCTGTAACCCCGCTTCTGTTGATCTAGTTATTAAACAGGTGGTCAGGGCCAACCATATAGTATGCATTCGTGCTTCTGTTATTAGTTCTTAATGTGGCATTAAAATCACCACCAATGCACCATCTGCTGACAACCTTTTCTTCTATTTCCTCGAGTTGCTGCCACAGGATGCGACGAGTCGAAGCCTTAGGGTGTCTGTAGATAATAGAGAGATCCGAAGCATCTCTTGTGCCTTGATTAAAGGTACTATGAAGCAACTGTGTTTGTTTTGAGGTAACCATAAAATTGATATTTATGATTGTAGCTTTTTCATATTTGCTGCATATTTTTCTGTGCCATAGTGATGTATGCTGAATATTTATAAGCGACAAAAACCGCGAAAATATTTTTTTTAACATACAAAACAATTTTTTAATCATTTTTTGATACAGCAATTTCTCAATCTTAATATACGCACCTATCATTTTTTCTGGCTTATATAATACTAGGAAAGCAATAATGAAATACTAACTTTGGTTCTAATTATAAGACTTAATTTATAGTTTATAAATGAGATATTATAATTAAGATCGAAAGTAGTATTTAATTAGAAAAAAGGGTAAAGCGAGAAAATATTCTATTATTTCGTGATTTCAGCTAATAAATTTTGAGATATGCAAATATATTAATGAATTATTAATAGTAGTTAATAATATTAATATCTGTGTATCTAATTCTGAATATAAGAACATCAGTCAGGTAATTTAATTAAATTAAAAATTTTAAACCTTTTAAAATATTTATATATTAAATTAAATTATATATTAATTTATAAGTTAAATACATTATAAATTAATTTGAAAAAAAAGACTATAAACATGAAAGACGGGATAGATTGAAACAATCAAATCCAATTTTTTTTATCTAGTTTTTATACGGAGGTATTAATCATTTTCTTGTAAATTCTTTTCAGGAAAAAAAGAAGGTGCAAGGGAGGGCCAGTCCAGTTGTGGAGGCTTTGCAAGTAACTATAATAACGTCAAAATCCACGTTCTTTGCCCTTTTTTCCTTCTCTCTCTCCTGCCAGGGAGGCAGCACAGCAGCAAGTATCCCTCAAAACCTCCCCCAAACCTCTTCTCCTCCGCCACCGCCCATGGAGGTTCCCTCCGCCGTTCAGCCCCTTTCATCCGCCCCACCGCCACAAACCCCTCATCTCAACTATCCCGAGTCCGTCGACTCCTCTCCTCGATCCCGGAACACTGATTCATGGGATGAGCCTGTCCCTCCGGCCGCCGCAGCCGCGGCCTCCTCCAAACTTCGGTTCATGTGCAGCTATGGTGGCCACATCGTCCCTCGTCCCCATGATAAGTCCCTCTGTTACGTTGGTGGGGAAACGCGTATCGTTGTTGTTGAACGTAACACCTCCCTTTCTGACCTTTCCTCTCGTCTCTCTAAAACCTTCCTCAACGGCCGTCCCTTTACTCTCAAGTACTTGCTTCCCACTGAAGACCTTGATTCTCTTATTTCTGTGACCACCGATGAAGACCTCGATAACATGATCGACGAGTACGATCGAATTTCTAATTCGTCACTGAAACCCTCTAGAATCCGCCTCTTCTTGTTCACGGCGAAGCCCGATTCGACCCAATCGATACCCATAATTAACAGCTCCGCTAAGTCAGAGGATTGGTTTCTGGGTATGCTTAATAGAGGGTTTTCGGATTCTGGTTCTGTTAATTTGTTGATGGGTTTTGATGATGAGCTTGGTGCGGGCAATCTGGATGGGGGTTCGAAAGATGTCGAGCCTGTGAGTTCTGGATCTTTTGGAAATGGCAAGAGTGCGAAGCAGCATGGTCAGGATGTTCACTCTGTGCCCGATTCACCTATGCTGGAAACCACATCTTCCTTTGGGTCCACTTCTTCATCGCCGTCGGTGGCGAATTTGCCGCCAATTCGGGTTCATATTGATGATGGTAGTGGTGGGGGAGCAAGGGTACAGGATCAGAAGGCGGTGGGGATTGAGGATCAGCTCGCTCAAATGGGTGTGGGTGGCGGACAGAAGCAAGATGAGGGTTTTCTGATGTCTTCACCTCCTACTATGCCGGCATCCACCGTCCCGGCCGGCGTGCCTGTTGGCTCCTCGGTCCCTCCCGGCGAATACCAGAATCGTGTTGTCTCTGATGATGAGAGATCAGACTATGGAGTCCTTGGGGGTTACAGGAAACCTCCCCCACCGCAGCCACAGACGGTGCCTCAGCCTCAGATTCTGCATACACAATTGCAGCAGAAGCCGACTGGAGGCGTTGATCTGCCTTCTCCAGATTCAGTTTCAAGGTATCTTCAAACCCTTTCCTGTTTTTCTGCCTTTCTCATTTTGTCCAACCGGTTTTCTGGTGTTGCATGCTTAATTTTATACGACATTGAGTTGTTTAGTGCTTAATTTGGTTCGATCATATTAATGGGTTACTTGTTAGAGCTTTCTGTATTAGGTGCTTCTTGCTGATTGCTTGTTTAAATTCTTCAGTGACAGTAGTATGAAAAATGCAATGTCGCGCCCACAACCTATGGTCTATCAAGACCAAGCCCAGCTCCAAATTCCCTCAGGAGCTGCGAGGGTTCCTAGTAATCAGGTTGATCCGAAACTGATGTCTGATTCTCATGGTCGGATCCAAATGCAGCAACAAGTATTGGAGCAGGGATATGTTTTGCAACAACAATTTGATCATCATCAACAACAACAACAACAACCACCTCAACAGCAGCACCAATTTATACATGGAACACAGCAACAAGTACAGGAAGCAGGATATGTATTACAACCTCAATTTGATCAACAACAGCAACAATTTATACATGGCACACATTTCATTCACCATGCCCCTTCTGGTGCTGCGCCACTGTCTGCATTTTATCCTGTATATCCTTCCCAGCAGCAGATTCATCCCCAGCATCATCATCAGCTTGAACAGCAGTATCAGGTTTACTATGTTCCCAGCAGACAGACCCAACCTTACAACTTGTCTTCACAGCAGCCTAATATTAGTGAACCTCCTGCAACAATTCCTTCTAACCGCGCCCAGACAACACAGAATCCTGCTTTGGTTCAGCCATCTGCAGCTTATAACCCCATCAGAAATGCTCCGGTGCCTAAATCTGAAATGACAGCAGGTGCATATAGAACAGCATATTCGGCCACCCCTCAAGTGGTTCAAGTTGCTTCTGGTCAGCCTCAGCAGCAATTTGTTGCCTATTCCCAGTATCATCATCCATCTCAGGCTGCTGCCCCCAATTCTGCTGCCTCGGCTAGTTATGCTTACGAGTATGCAGATCCTGCTCACGCCCAGATATACTTCTCTCAGCCTCTGGCACCCACAATGCCTTCACAGTACCAAACTATGACGGGTGCTGCCGCTGCAGGACATCCAGATGTTTCTGCCCAGCCACCCTCAGACAGCATGAAGCAGCAGATAAGAACATCACAGCCACAGTAAGTCAGTCCCAAGTAAAGAAACAATTTTGAAGAAAAATGGGTTTGATATATTCTTTTCCCTTTAATTTTTCTGTTTCTGTTGTGTTATTGGTACCTGTTTGTGGGTTTGTATTTGTGATAGATTATTAAAAACTCATCTCATCTTGTACTTCTTCTATGTCATAATTTATACAAATTGATAGTCCAAGGTTATACTGTAAAAGGTCAAAGACTCAAAATTGTTTTGTCAAGTCCAAATATTGATTCATGAATTATTGTTGTGTAAATTAGCAGGCATTGTTCCTGGGTTCTTTTCTGTTAATAATTTCCTTTTGCATATGCTTCTCCCATTGATAATCACAATGGGTATGTCCTTAGAAGCCTAGGAACTAGTCCCTGGTCCCTTTAGCATCCTGGACCTTAAAGGACCACTAGTTTACCCTGGGCATACATAATGAATTAGCGCGTTTATCGAGACTTTACATTGGTCATAGTTTGTCTTCAATAGGAAATCATATATTTTTGCCAACTGATGGATTGGTTTGTCGTTGCCAAGTTTGAATCGGACCATCTTTGATGGAAACTAACCCTTGAATTATCAAGAGGTGCCTAGTTGAAACTGCGTAAGAATTGCTATTAGTTTATTTTGGCATTTCAAGCAACAGATTATAACGTTATCCGGGGATTAAACTAGATGGTTCCATATGATGCGTGTGTTGGTTTGTTCCCTTTCATAAATGATGTTCAATTCCTTATGCTTCATTTTGAGCCATTTCTCAATGTCTCCTTGCTTTTTCGTGAATACGACGTTGTTAAGAATGGTTGTTGGTACTCAACTCAACCAACATCAGAAAACAACGAAAACCATGAGCAGCAAAGCAAAGATGTTCAGATGGAGAATTTTGACGTACGGTGAACTTTAAGATATGTATACATACGATCAAACTTGCTCACAAGAGGCACGTTAGTTCACGTGACATTCAGTGCAAGTTCATTTAGGTTCAGTGTTTTATTTATTAAGAAAGAAGATCCAAGGGTTTTCTGGTTGATAAAATTGGTCATTGTTGGCGAAAACAAGCGACCAAAGAAAACGTGTAGCCTTCCCATCTGGTGTTTAACTTTTTTAAAGATCTTGGTCTAATTAATAGTATTTATTTACCTAATATTCGAAGTCTCAGCATCAATACTCCCTCTAATCTTTTTTGTTGAAAAATTTAACCGAATCATATGGATTAAGGAATATAGTTCGAATTAATTAAAAGCTTTTGATTTGTCAAAAGTCATTGTAACACCTCAAAAGTATTCTTAATAAAATTATGAGAAAAAAATGAACGTAATTAAAGATTTTTTGGTATTAATATTATCAATATCAGTATATAAATAATTTATAAAAACTAGAAGTATTATGGCCAAAAAACCCAGCAGTATTTGTAAATCATAATAAAGTTAATTTCAAACATGATACAAATGTATGAGGTCCACTGTAAACTGTTATCAAGCACCCAAGCCCTTGTGCAAAATTTAGAGCTGATAATGTGTTAGGAAACACTTAAGATGATAGTCCTCATTGTCCATTGAAATTTAAATGCTGTCAAAATTTAGAAGAGGGGAAACTAGAAAGGATATTAATAGAGAGAAGTGATTTTGTGCTGTATGAAAAAAATATATAAAAAGAATTTTGTTTGGTAAAGCGTAAAAGTATCTATTTTAAACTGATCCAAACAGCTACGTTGCCACGGGATTGCCAGTTTGAGATTTAGTAACAAAGTGGGTGTGATGCTGCTGGCAAAGCGTCACACATGCCACAATATGGTGGGGGCAGCTGTGACTCAGAGTTGGGAGCAACCTCAAGCTTCAAAATGTCTATCCAAAAACTTAACGCATAAGTAAATCATTTTATATTAGTAATAAATCAACTTACCATTATGAAGGGTTGATTGACTTTTTCTCTCTTAATTATTCATGGGTATCCTCTTATTATAAACATATTTTAGGTACCATCAGTGTTCAATGTAAGTATTTCTTACTGTAGAAATTTGAATTTTAGTTCAAGTAACCAATTCTTTTCACTAAACTCAACTCTTACTGCTGGGTTGATAGAATTTTAGACAAACATAACACTTTAACACCTAATTACAGCCTATCTTTTGTAAGCTTTTATAAACCAGACTTTTATTCTAACTGATAGTTTAAATTTACTTAAACACCCAATTACAGCCTATCTTTAACATTTGTGATTATTTTTTAGTTGTGTACAACCTATTTTTGTCTATGTGCAAAACAAAAAACTTTTACATACAGTTAAAAGGTGCGTTTCACACAACCGCAAAAGATTTTCACTCATTTAGTATTTTTGAGCAATAAATTATATAATGAAAGATTTTTTTGGCAATTTTCCTTGTTTATAAACGCCAATTAAGGTAGTTTTTGGTGAACTTCAGTTCAATTTAACAAATGTCTATTTTGCAAACTTTAAACTAAACATAATTTTTTTTTCAAATTTTCCTGCCTCATGTATTCTTTATAAAAAAACAAAGAAAAAGAAAAACAAAGAGATTCAAACATGGTTGCGGGTGATGGGGAAGAAGATGCTACCCACTATTCACATTATTATTGCTTATTAATAATGTGATGGTCCTCCAAAACAATTTAGTCAAAGGATTTAGAGGGGTCCCACTACGCGCACGGGAAGTTGATTTTGTCACGCCACAGCCTCGTGCTGAGGGACCTCCCCCCATGCTTGCGTATTACTTGGCCCACTCTTTATCCGTTCTTCATTTCTCCAACTATTCAAACTCTCCTTAGCTTGAAGGGATGGATCTTCTTGAATGAAGGTAATTTTTGTACGCTTTGATCTGTTGAATAGCTGTTCAAACTGGGTATGTCACAATGTCAACCAAAATTTGTTGCAAAAGGGGAAAAAAATATAATTTTTTAATATTTACTCTCTCCGTTTCTAAATGTAAAACCCATCTTAACTATAAAAATAGGTCTTACATTTATAACCGGAAGAGTATTTGTTCTATAAAAAGTTAAATGAATGATTGTTAGGATTTATTATCGAACTTGGATTAATTGGTAGTTGTTTCAGTTTAAACAAAGTTCACATGTTCAATCATTTGGGAACAAAATAGCAAAGATAGTAGGATGGCTGCATTGAGTCCTATTATGACCCAATTCGAATTAGTTTGATTTCATGAGAGTTTGACTCGGTATACGGTGCTCATATTAAAAAAAAAAAAGACAATTAGGATCTCGGCAAATTTATTGTCCTGAAAAAATGAGTTGCAAATATTGATTCAGTTAATTGTAAATAGGAATCTGATTGCGGATAGAGAGTTGCATTTGAAACCTTTAGGAGGGGATTTAGATAGAAACAAAATCATAATTTTAAAAGTGACTTTATGGTATACAAAATAAATATATGGAAGAGTTTATCTCGATTTAAAAAAAATACTTTTAGGAAGTGCTTTTGATAATAGCCAAACACCCCGCAAGTCATATTTGCAATTGAAACTCTTAAATTTGCAGCTGCTTGAATGATATTTGCAATTCATTTTTTAAGAAAATTTGTGGGAGACCTTACTTTCATTTAGAGGTATTCAATTTGTCCCGTTCCGGTCCCAATGAGTTCGGGACGAGACGGGACGGGAATAGTGACAAGGACGGGACGAGACACGAAGCAGGGTTGCCCTGTCCCATCCCGTCCCGGGGTATTTTTTTTTAAAAATTATTTATTAACAATTATTATTAAATTATTTAATTTACTTATTAATAATAATTATTATTTTTATAGTGATTTTTATCTCTTAAGTTGTAGTATTATCTTAACAAAATCTCATTCCTCAATAAAATAATTCATAAAGACATTATATAGTGTTTTTTTCTTGTATTTTTTTAACATCTTTTTTATACTATATAATTGAGCTTTCTACATAATATTTTTTTAATGATGTTTTTTATCTTTAGAAGCCCAATAACAAATAAGCATTATAACATAAAAAATTCATATAAAAAATTATAGTATTTTTTTTGTTTAAAAAAGGGGAAAGCAGGATGGGATGGGACATGGGACAAAATTCTTGTCCCATCCCTATTCATCGAGACGGGATCGGGACGGGCCTGTCCCGATTCCGTCTAGTCCCGTGAACACCCCTGCTTTCATTAATTTACTGTAGTAGTCATTCTCCCTGTAAGCACATGAACATGACTGAAAATATAAGAGCTAAATTATTAATTTGTAGATATTAAAACAATTAATTAAGTTAGTTATTTATATAAATGGATGTTCTCTTTCTTAAAATACCTTTATTATTATGTGCATTGGAATTACCAAAAACTTCTTAACATATGCAATCACCATATATTACATGGGAACAAAATGGAGAAATATCGGAGACAAAGTAGATTAAAGTCTTATATTTATAACCAAATTGAATATCTAACTAGCTTTATTAAGACCATGGTCCTTTATATAAGAGTTTATTTGACTTTTATTTTGATTCTAAATATAAGACTACAATCCATTTATCTCTTATATTTATCTATTTTTCTTAAAATAGTTCTTGTAGTAATGATAATTCTAGCCATTTCATTTGATTAGTAGGACATTTTAGAAAAGACAATACCTATTTATTATAAATAACTAATTTAACTAAGTTTTTTAATCTATCTAATTAATCAATAGTTCTTATATAAAAATCTGAAGTAATATTCTTTAAGGAAGTAAACAAATTTGAAATTAATAACAGTAGTTAGATTAAATGAGGAAAGATTTATAAATGGACTTCTCACCGAAGAACAAATAATGTATCACCAGTTAAAAATATTATGACTATTTGCTTCTTTTTATATAAAATATTTAAATTCTTAAAATTTTTTAAACAAGTTTTTTTGCCAGCAAAAACAAGTACTGTCTCAGGTCTTTAATATAAGAGCTAGTTGACTAATTTAAGTAGATTAAAAAAATCAGCTAAGTTAGTTATTTGTAATAAATATGTATGTCTTTCTTAAAATATCATTGCTAATCAAGTGTATAGAGTAAAACTATTATTATTATAAAGACTTTCTTTAAAAAAATATAAATATTAAAAAATAAAATAAATTAAAATTTATATTTAAAATCAAAATAAAAATTAAACAGACTCTTGTGTTATATTAAGAATCAAACATAGTATTTTTTTAAAAATATATTAGCTTATCACCTTCTCCATTTCGATTTGCCTAGAAAATAACGCCACCCTTGCAAGCATGACATGACATTAATAGGATAAACATGAAATGGCGTAGAAAATAAATGATTCCCTCAACA